TGATGCCTCTGAGACATAAATGGGGCCTTGTGTAGACAGTCTCGTGCTCAGGGGAGAGGACTGCGCCAAAGGAAAGCCGTCAGTGTATAGATGTGTGGAACTATGAGGCCAGGTGAGGACACTGAGGAAGTGGGTAGAGAAGAGAGGAGGCCCAGGATGGACCTGGGCACACCAGCATGTAAAATGGGGCAATAAGAAGGAGCACCAAGGAGATGAAAAGACACAGACCCAGGGCAGAAGGAAAGCAGTGAAGATTTTCCAAGTGAGGGATGCTGCTGTGTCAGATGCTGCTGAAATCCTTTTGAGGATTTATCTAAAAGGGAGAGCAGAGAAATGGAGTGAGGCTGACAGTACAGGCAAGATCACAGAGATTTTTCTCTTTTTTTTTTTTTTTTTGGAGATAGATTCTTATTATGTTGCCCAGACTGGCCTGGAGCTCCTGGGTGCATACAATTCTCCTGCCTCTGTCTCCCATGAAGCTGAAACTATAGGCCCACATAACTGCACGTGGCTCAGATTTCCTTTCTGGTTTTTTGTTGTTTTTTTGTTTTTTTTATGGTACTGGGGCTTGAACTCAAGGCCTTCACCTTGAGCCACTCCACCAGCCCTATTTTTGTGAAGGTTTTTTTGAGATAGTGTCTCATGAACTATTTGCCCAGGCTGGCTTTGAACTGCAATCTTCCTGATCTCTCCCTCCTGAGTAGCTAGGATTACAGGCATGAGCCACCAGTGCCCGGCTCTTTTTTTTAACTAAAGAAATTAGAGGATTTATAATAAGTTTCCTATTGCTGCTATTAGAAATTACCACAAACTTTCCTGTTCTTATGGTTCTGGAGGCCAGCAGTCTAATAAGGGTCAGTAGGGCTACATTCCTTCTGGATTCTCTCAGATCCTTTCCAGTTTCTAAAAGTCACCTGCATTCCTGGCTGACCTCCTGGCCCCATCCTCCATTGATATTAAAACCCAAATGGGAAGGCTGGGTCATGTTGTTTGAGTATAGAACCTGGGGATCTGCTGCCTGTCATTTATCCTTTACCAGTTGTATGACTTTGCCAGTTACTCAGCTTCTCTGTGCATCAGTGTCCCCATCTGTAAGGTGAAGATTATAATACAACCAACCACTTAGTGGTTAAAAGAATTAAAGGAGTTTGTAAAAAAGCCTAAGAAAATGCCCAGCACATAGTAAGTAAAAGGAATAGCACAAGGAAACCGCAGTCCATCTGCTGAACACTCCTGCTTGTCACCAGTCTTGGTATTTCCCTTCTCCCATCCACTACCTGCCTTGATTAATTTGAACCATGTTTCTGATACTTTACCATTTCATCTATAAGTGTGTGTTCTTAAAGATAAAAGCTGCTTTTAGAAAAAGTTGTTGCAATACCATCATCACACCTCAGTAAAGAAAAAATAATTAGGCCCTTGATATTACAAGATATCTTCAGGGCTCATACTTCCCCATGGACTCAAGATTTTTTTTTTTTTTGGTTAGTTTATTTTGAGGTAGGAGAAAACTACATACATTGCAGTTGATTGATCTGTCCCTTAAATTACTTCCTATTATTTTCCCTTGAAATTCTTATTTTAAGAAAACAGGTAATTCATCATAGAGTGTCCCCTATGTCTTTGTCATAGTCATCTGTCTCCTGTCCCTTTTATTCCCAGTCAATTGTTAATGCTACTTAGTCAGGCTCAAGTTCAGAATTTCTTAGTAAGAATTTCTTAAACAAGATCCACAGCTAAGCTTTTAAAGAAAAAGACTGATTCGCCGTACTTAAATTTAAAACTGTTACAACCAAGAAAAGCCACAGACTAGGAAAAGATACTTAAAATTCATTTAACTGTCAGAGTTAATATCCAACACACAAAAAATCTCCCTTTTAAATCAAGAAGAGAAAACCCAGTGGGAAAAAATAATGAAAGTCCATGACGAAGCTGTCTATTCCTTTAACAAATGCTTATATAGCTTTTAGGATGTACCTGGAATCCTCTTACACACTTAACAAATGTTAGCTCATTTATTTTCATAACAAGTCTAGGGTGTAGGCGCTGTCATTACCTTCATCCTACAGGTGGAGAAAGGGAGGCAAGGTCAAATGACTAGCCCCGGGTCACACAGCTAGTCAGTAAGGGAGTCAGGTCCCAAACCCAAGCCAAGGAACTCAAAAGTTCCTGCTACTAAACTCTGTGTCCTCCTGCAGCTCTCTGAAGAAGGAATTAATACGATTGGGCAACAAAAATGTCCTGTGTGACAAGAATCAGAAAACTGCATAGTAAAGCAGGTTTCCTTTTTACTTGTCAAGTTGGCAAACATTTAAAAGATTATTAATATCCCCTCCGAGGCTTTGGGAAGCTGAGTGCCCTTCTGTGCTAGAAGCACATATAAATTGGTAGAATCTCTCCCTAAAGGGTAGTATCTGTGAAAACACATGTCTGATCCTTGCCCTCAGCAGCCCCACTGTACAGTACACTGTACAGGGGACCCTCATGCAGAGAAAGCACAGAATAGATGATTGAATGAAAATGTGGGGGCAGTCTAAGTGAATTTGAGACACATTTCTGATACCTGTCGTTTCACCTGTCAGTGTGTTTCTCTAAGATGAAAGGGAGGATGGCCTCCAAGGGTGTGGAGCCATGGCTGCTGCTCTATCAGTCTGTCCTGCCCAGGGTCCCAGCACTTCCTCCTCACCTTTCCCCTAGGTCCTAGTGCAGTAGACAGACACCAGGCTGCTCTGCAGGACATGATGGTGGCCTGAGGATCACCCTCAGCAGGCCCAGCCTACTGCCACAGCCACTTGTGCCCTATCCTCCAAAATGCCTCTGGGACTAAAGGGAACAGGTGGCAGTGAGTGAGACCATGATGGACTGCAGGCATGGCTCAAGTGATAAAGCATTTACTTAGCAAGATGAGCCCTAAGTTCAAACTCCAGTACCACCCAAAAAAAATTTTTTTAAATGTGTTAAGGTCATGAAAGACAAAAAAAGCTGCCACAGATTGGAGACTCAGAAAACATGAGAACTGTGTGCAAGGTGAAATCCTACAATCAAAAGGACGGGAGTGAAAAAACTGAGTATGTTCAAATTTGGTGTAGAGTGGAGTTAATGGTGTATTAATAATTAGTACTCCTCTCCTGCTTTGATCATTGAACTGTATGATGTTGAAATTAAGGACAGCCAAGGGAAAAATACACAGAGAATTCTTTACTCTTTTTCAATTTTTCTATATATCGAAAATTATTTCAAAATAAAGTGGAGTTTTTTTGGCAGTACCAGGGTTTGAACTCAACCTCACACTTGATAGACAGGTGCTCTACAACTTGAGCCTGTCCACCAGCCCTTTATTTGTGTCAGGTATTTTCCAGATAGGGTCTCTAGAACTATTTTTCCTGGGCTAGTCTCCAACCATGATCCTCCTGATCTCTGCTTCCCAAGTAGCTGGGATTACAGGCATGAGTCAATAATGCCAAGTTGAAATTAAGTTTTTTCTTAATCTAGGAAAATATATTAAAGTTTGGATCAGGCAATGTGGGTGGTATCAGTTTTGTTGGATAGATGAGAAAATGTAGAGTAAAAAGGGTTCCATGACATGCTCTAAATCACACAGGTGGTAGGGGAGTCTGGAATTTTTTCCTGACTGCCACCTGCTCTGAGTACTGTAGTACTGCCAACTCCCTTTTCCTTCCTCCCTCCATACTGTGAACTGTGGCCAACACCTGGCTGGGGCTGACATTGGAATAGAATCCTGCTGGCAACCTGCCAGATCCAGAATGTCTTAGCTCTTTAGGAAACTTAATTAGACACCAAAAGAAAAAGGTTGAGATTTTAAGGTTATTCCTTAAGTGGATAAAATACATGATTGATGCCAGATAGATCCTGTTCTATCCTGATCAGGTAGGAGTAAGTTAAATTCCAGTGACAGGTATTAAGTTGGCCACATGGAGAAAAACTAGCAGAGTGCAGAGACAGTCCTTTCCCAAAGTCGTTTTTTAATCCTCCATTGAGATACTTCACATACCACACATACCCAGCTTACAGTGTACAATTCAGTGACTTTTGTATATTCCCAGAGTAGTATAAACACCATAATGGATTTTAGAATATGTTTCAGTGCCTCAAAAGAATCTTTTTGCCACCACAAAGCATCCCCACCCCCATTTCCTCCAGCTCAAGGCAACCTCTAATCTATTTTTTGTCTTTCTGCATTTGCCTATTCGAGACATTTCTGATAAGCAGAATCATATATGGTCTTTCATGATTGGCTTCTTTCACTCAGCACCATGTTTTTAAAGTGTATCTATATTGCGACATGTATCAATAGCTCATTCCGTTTTATTGCTGAATAGTATTTCATTTACCCATTGATCAGTTGGTAGACACTTGGGCAGTTTCTACTTTTTGACTGTTGTAGATGATACTGCAGTGAACATAAAGTGCCAGCTTCTGTGTGGATAAGAGTTTCTATCTCTCGGGTCCTGTGGTGACTTTGTATTTAACCCTTTGAAGACTTGCCAGACTGTTTTCCATAGTGACTACACCATTTTACATTCCTACCCACAGTGTATAAGGGTTCCTGTTTCTCCTCATCCTAACCCATACTTGTTCTTATTATCTTGTTTACGTTAGCCATTCTAGTGGGTAGAAAGTGGTGTCTCACTGTTGATTGATTTGCATTCCCTAATGGCTAAGGATGTTAATTATCCAATAGTCAGTTAATAATCATTGCCCTCGGGCCATCAGTCCCTTCTGAAATTTCCCAGATGTGTTCAGCAGTGATGTCCCTTCCTTGTGAGATCACTATGCCTAGAAACATAAAAGCCTGACTACTATCCCAAAAGCTTTGAGAAATGAGTAGGCATTGGGTCCTCAGAGTTCCAGGACCTTGTTCCCTGAATCAAGATGTGGGGGTTGGAGAGGAGATTCTTGGGTGTCCTTTTAACCAGGATCTCATTTATTCAAAAAACCAAACACACTTTCATGGCACCTTGTTCCTCGTCCTCTCCCAGGAGGTCCAGATGGTTCTTGTGACTCCAGCTTTGGGAGCAGCATCAATGTCTTCACTCCAGCCAGGTGAGTGATTTGTTCCATCCAGAGGTATTTGTGGAAAGTGAGGAGCCTAGATCTTTTCTGGGTGCAGGAGACTGCAGCAGAGACGCAAGGCAAATTCCCAAGGCCACTGTTTGAGGGGCACCTTGTGCACACAAGAGGTACTTTAGGAGGGGCTCTGAAGGACACTGCAGGAGCCCAGCTATCTAGTTCCTGTGGCCAGATAGACTTTGGGGAAAGATTAGAAGACATTGGAGGTCAGTAAATGTACCTTTTTTTTTTTTTTTGAGACCATGTGTCACTGTGTAGCCCAGGTTGGCCTTAAGCTCGTGATTTTCCTACCCCAAGTGCTAGGTTCGCAGGCATATGCCACCTTGTCTAAAGCAAATGCACATTTTAAAGTCCATCTTATTCATGGTGATGACAACGACCCAAATGCCTTTGCCCAGCACCCTTTACTAGTCCAGGACATTATGGGACTACAAGACTGCCAAGCAGAAGGCTGTTGGAGGACTCCAGGTACAGGAACTGTCCTTCGACACTCCCAGGACAGCTATCTGGAGCACAGTCTTCCACAGGGGGGCAGTGCAGGCCAAGCAGCGAAGTAATCCCGAGCCTTGCCAACTTGCTTCATGCTCCTGCAGAGTGATGGGATCCCTGGGGAGGGAACTGTCACAGTTCTGTCAGGGTCCAAGTCTCCTGGACCTGCCCCTCACTGTTTCTTTGGATGGCATTGGCATCTGTGTGGCTGAACTGGGTGGCTGTTCTCCTACAGTGTATTTGTTCCTCTGAACTTGATATTAAACCTAGGCCTGGGGAGCCAGTCATTCATGAAGAGAGAATATTCGCTTAGCTCCAAGAAGCTTTTCTCCCCAGACCTTAGAATCTTTCCTTGTGTATCGTTTTTTAATTTATTCCTATCCCTAAGTATACAAAGACTAACTATAAACTTACACCCCTTAGGACCACTCCCACAGGGGGCAGCAAGTCAGTAAATGCTGGTCATATGCTCCCTTTCAGTTAGCTGTCATGCCTATACTCAACTCTGTAGGTTCCAAGATAGAGTCAGTCCCTGAATGTGCCCCTGATCTTGAAGTTCTTTAGTGGGGAGGCAGAGAAGTAACCAGGAAATTACCAGAAAGGTAACTTTGATTGCTATGGTGAGGTATACTGGAAAGGGAACTGATTATTCTACAGCTGATGTTGGGGGTCGGGGGCAAGCCACAGAGCCTGGTGTCTGCGCTGAGGCATTGAGCACAGTGGCTGAGAATGGCTCATGGTGGTGAACCCAGAAAGTGCTCCTGAGGCGCAAACCTATGCTAAATCCATGTCAGATCATTCAGATTTTGCTTATGTTTAATCCCAGGGTCAGCAGCACTGTTATCTCTATTTTAAGGATGAGAAGGTATAGGGAACAGGGATTGCTGTGTAGAGAATAAACTTAGGTGCTGCTCAAGTCGGGTGCAGATAAGCTGGGGAGTCACTGCAGCCATCCCGGTGAGAAAGGGTAGAGCCTCAGACTGAGGAGGAGGTAGACTGGGGAGATGTATTTCAGAGGTGACTGTCAGGATTTGCTGATGGATGGGATAGAATACACAGGAGAGACCTGAGGCAAGAATAACCTCTAGGTGTTTAGCATTGGCTAAACTCAGGACATCCTGGTAGTTTCCAATCTGGGCTGCAAGGAAAAGCAGATATGAGTGGGGTGGGTCAAGTTCTGCTTGGGTGGCTCTGGGCATCCCTGGGAGTGGTGAAGGAGGCAGGTAGGGACTCTAGGTTCTGAAACTTGGGGCTGGGGAAGGTCTAGGTGATATGCAAGGGACCCATGAGTCCTTTAGAGGGTTCAGCTTTGATCCTGGAGGCCATGGGAGCCAATGTGAGTGAGAGTGGCAGGATCAGTTCTGGGTTTATTTACTCTTCTGGCAGCCAAAAAGTCTGTTGTAGACTTGTCACTATAATCTGGACTACAGAGACTGTCACACTTTGAGGGAGTGATGATAGGATGTCAAGGGAGATGGGGGAGGAGGCAGAGACAGGACGTAACTGATGGGCTGTGGAAGTGGTATGACCCTCTGCTGCCTCGCTTGGTAGCCTCTGCTGCTGCTGCTGCTGCTGCTGCTACTGCTGGGGCAGGCCTGCAGAGGCCTCAGTTCCTGTGCCATGGCCAGGAACCACCGAACTGGCACTGGGCTTGGTTTTTACTGTCGTTCAGAAGCTTACAAGAACTTGTAAAAGTTCCTACCTTTAACACAAACACATAAGAACAAATCACTCAACACTTTCTGACTCCTGACATAGGGAGATCTTCTTGTGGTCTGAATTATTAGCCCTGCCAGAGAGGAGTCAGGTCCCAGGCTCTTCCACCTACTTCTTCCAATGGTGCTGTCAAAAGACAGGCTGAGCTCTAACAAGGTGGCATTGTGCAGAATGACACTGAACAAAACCTGCCCTGTGATCTTCCAGGTTCATTGCTTGCCTAAAGCACCACCCAAAGTTGCCAGTTTCACTTAGTTCAGGCCAGCCACTGGCAGCAACTAGAGGAGGGACTCCAAGGCAGAAGGCATTCCCGCCTGGCAGAAAACTGCAGTTGTGGCTACAGTCCTGAGCCTCTAAGTGGTTATTATCCCTTAGAGAGTCTGATGAAAGCTATGGACACTCTTAGTAGGAAAATGCCTATCCACATAAAATTCTGAATCCTCCCTCAGGAGATCAAGGATCTCCTCAAAGGCAATCTTTGCACCCCAGATTTAAAAAATAATAATAAAAAAATCATTACTTGGATCAAAATATGGAGAGAAAGGGAGAGATCACTAACTAAACTCAAGAGCACAGCCTCCTTCCTCTTTTTCATCTGCCTTCTTTCCCAGGTACTGGGAAAGGTCCAGACCCAGACACCAGGAGAACCACTGGAGAAGCAGAGGCAACAGGTCACTGTGGGTCTGGGTAGGCAGCTGAGGCAAAAAAGGAGTTAGAGGAGTCCAGGGTCCTCCACCCTCCAGAGCACAGAAAGTTCATGGAAGTTGAAGACTGGCCTTTCTGGGGAGGAAAAGAAACCAAGATGGAGGAAGCAAGCTCAGGCAAGGCAAGGGCAAGAGAGGAGTTGCTACCATCAAGAATCTATGCAATAGCATGATAAAAGCGAGAGCACACAAGGGAGGGATGAGGATAGGTAAGACACCTAAAAAACTAGCTAGCATTTGTTGCCCTTAATGCAGAGAAACTAAAGCAGATACCTTAAAGCAACTGAGGCCAATAGGAAAAGGGGACCAGGAACTAGAGAAAGGTTAGATAAAAAGAATTAACCTAGAAGTAACACCCACGCACAGGAAATCAATGTGAGTCAATGCCCTGTATAGCATCCTTATCTCAACCAGCAAAACCCTTGTTCCTTCCTATTATTGCTTATACTCTCTCTACAACAAAAATAGAGATAAGGGCAAAATAGTTTCTGCTGGGTATTGAGGGGGAGCGGGAGGGGGTGGAGTGGTGTAGGGAGGGGGTGGGGCAGGGGAGAAATAAACCAAGCCTTGTATGCACATATGAATAATAAAAGAAAAATGAAAAAAAAAAAAAAAAAGAATCTATGCAATAGGCACATCCCTTCCTCCCAGAAGTGTTAGGGGTGGTAGAACCAAGGGCCTGGTTCACATGTTTACTCTGCCACATATGTAAACCAAGTAGTGATAGCACTGGCCTCAGAGGAATGGGGTGTAAATGAGTTAAAGTGTGTAGAGAATATAGGCAGTGGCACTTTGTCATACTTGGTTACACCGATTCTCACAAGACCCTCCTTATCCTCCATCATACAAGTGAGGAAACAGACCAGAGAGGCTAACTTCTTGCTCAAAGCCACTCAGGTAATTAGTGACCAAGTGAGAATTCAAGCTGGTTCTGTTTGGTTCCAAGTCCTCTGTTTAGCCTCATTAGTTGCAGTTGAAGAGTTCCAGAAGAGTTGCCTCTTGGCCTCCATGACTCATTTGATAGGAGTCGTCAAACAGGTATTGTTATTTGAGCAATCTTCCCTCTGGTGTCCAGAACCTTGTCACTGTTGTCATCAGTGACATTCAACTGGTCTCCTGGTATAGCTGGCTCCCCTATTTGTAAAAAAACAGAAAGACCTAGAAACCAGTGCTTCCCAACTTTTAGCAACTGCTGATTGAAAAAGAATATATAATGATCTTGTGTTTTTTTTAAAAAGGTAACTTTGAATTCAGAAACAACTCTATTTTTAGACTTACATTTCTTCTAATTTAATTAGAGTTGTAATATGAACACCATAAAAAGTTAGACTTTACAGAAATAGAGTGCCATCTCTCAGAAAACCACTGGAGCATATTATTATTTATTGGTGGTATCAGAAGCATTATTCGGTAAGTCAGCATTTTAATAGTCACAGCAGCACCATGCACGTGGAAATTGTAGTACATGTATGTGTAAGACACCAGTTATGAGATGCTTTATGAGAAAATACTTGGTGCAAGTGGGGTTTTGCAGACTTTGAAATAACTCAGAAGCCCCAGGAGTGACTCGTCTAGACTTTTTGGAACTGATGTAGAAATGTATTTTAAACTGCATGAGCTCCCTTCTGTTCTTAATGGCTAAGGTTAGCCGGGGTGGAGAGAGCTCCACTCCTCTGCTGAGGGGAGCTGAGCACATCATACAGTGTGCCTCCTCTAGGAAGGCCCCAGCGTGTTCAGAGCTCAGAAGCCAGCCCCACCTGACCAAGCAGCTGAGAGCCACCTGCTCAAGGTCAGATGGGATCCTGACCTGCCCTTTCTCTGATGTAGACACTAAAATCCATCTACCTGGTGCCTGGGTGGGTACCTGCTTCCCATGACCTTCATCTTGAACTAGCCAAGGGAAGAGAGACCCAGGAGTATATCTCCAGCCAAGGGAATGAGTTCTCAGCACTGGCCTCATGGCCTGGTCAGTCCTATACTGTCTCTGGACCCAGGTTTGCTCTTCTGTGCATCAAAGGATTGGGTTGCATGAACCGTGAGGTTTCTCTTAGTTACGAAGTTCTTAGTTGTGTAAGGCTGACATCTGCATCTCCAGCAGCCTGCAGATGACCATATCTGGGAGTTTTGCCCCAGCTGGCATTTGCTGTGGGGGAAGTTGAGGAGAATGTCAGTACACACAATGTTTGCTACTGGTTCACACCCCAACTTCATGCAGTCCTTCCTTTGTTCAAAAGCGTGGCTGCAGCATAGGGCTACCAGAAGGAGATGCCACCATGGCTGGCCAGAAGCAGCTCAGCGTTCCTGTGAGTTAGAGCCCAGAGGCCCTGTTTGGTTTTAGAGGGTGTCCCACATGGGCTTCCCCAAGTGGCCGCTTTCTCCCCACAGAACTTTTGACTGCTGTTCTGACAAGAAAGTACTCTGGAAAGTGTGTTAGATAACTTCCTTTCCTCCACACCTGGGTCTGTCAGGGCTGCCCTAGCCAAAGAGGGGCTGCTGCTCTGCTGCTCCTGCCAAGAGATGTTGAAGGTGATGCTGCTGTGTACTGTCCGGAATCTGCCACCCCTACTGGGAGGCAGTGCCAGTGGTAGGTGGCACTCCTCCATTCCAGAGTCAGACTGCTCAGGTTCAGAATGCTGGCATCACCACTTCCTGACTGTGTAACCTTGACTAGGTCACTCATGTCTGTGTACATCATTTCACTCATCTCCAAAGGAAAAATAACATGACTCGGGTCATAGGCTGCTGAGAAAATAAGGCTGGCCAGTAAAGCACTCCACAGTGTTCGTCATCATGTCAGTACCTTCATTACCATGTCATCAAAGCTGTTATTCCCCTACTCCGAGGTTTATACTCACTTCTGTTCCTGCTCTGGGAAGAGTTTTGGCACTTCCTTCCTTCCTCCCCTCCAGCAGCTCCAGGTCTGGGCTGTTGCTAGGCCAGTGCAGTTCTGAGCACCCAGCTAAGTAGAACAAGGCCTTCCTGCCAGGTGGCCCAGTTCAGCTGAGATGTGGCAGTGATCTACCAGGCACAGAGTACTTGTGATACCCTGGGCCCCTTGCAGCAACATGACCACTCTGTGGCTCCTGCTGGAAAGGGACTTACTGCAGAGTTCAGAACATGGAGCTGTGAAAGAACGGGCTGAGGTAGATGTAGCCATCCTTCACTGTCCATCTGCCTCATGTAAGACCCTAATCTGCAGTGGGCATCTTCTCCACTTCTGAGGCAGAGCTGCTCTAGCCATGAGATCTGTGGCTAAGGGAGAAGAGCCAAGCCACAGGAACACTCCAGAAGGAGCTCTACAGGAGGCTAGCCAGGATGGGGACCTGGAGATAAGACTGGAAGTGCTCGCCATTAGCAGAGGGAGGAGTGTCTAGGAAATTGTCAGAGCCGACAAGGAAATGCTGAGGAAGCCCTGGCATGGATTACTATGCTGGTATCGGAGGCACCCGCATGGCTGCTGAGCACCTGAGTTGGGACATGCATGCACTCTGGATTTCAAAGGTTAGGACACAATGCAGAATATAAAGCATCTCATTAATCTTTATATTGATCATATTGATTGCGTGTTGAGATGCTAGTGGTATCTTGGATATATTGGGTCAATTATGATTAATTTCCCCTGATGCGTTTTCCTTTTATTTACTTATTCGTCTCTTTTTGGCTGCACTGAGGTTTGAACTCAGGGCCTCACACTTGCTAGGCAAATGCTCTGACCACTTGAACCACTCCAGCAGCCCTTTCTTTTTCAATTAAAAACTAGAGAATGTGGAGTCCCATCTGTGGCTTGCTTTGTTTCTGTTGGACAGTGAGCACAAGACAGCGATTAAGACCTTGACTGGGATCCACCTCTGCCACCTTGGGCCTGTCTACATTTTGCTTTCCCTGGATGTTAGGCTCCCAAAGCATTGAGATATTTTGAGTTGCTCGAAATACCCCATGAACTTCCAGCCGTGTGACTCCTGGGGAAAGCATGGTGGCGGCCCTCCTCCCGCAGAGGCTCCATTCTGGGTTCTGTCACTGTATCACGTGCCTAGATGTTCTGGCCCCTGAGAATGGATGTGCCCACTCTCACCCTGAAACAGGCACCAGGGGACCATCAAACCATATCAAACAGCAATTCTGCCTAGCAGTTACAGAGCTCAGAATCAGGCCCTGTAGAAATTCACATCACATGAACTTCACAGAGGCTGCAGGCAAGTAAAGAGAGTGTAGCTGTTGAGTTCCTGATGCAAATGAATAATTGAGCATCCTGAAAGGCCATGAAAGATGATTTTGTATAGGTGGGCAGTGGAGCCACCTGGTCCTGCTCCTCAGGAAATGCAGCCTGCACTGTCTTCTCAGCAAATGCAGCATTATGCATCTGTAGAAGGGGTGCCCCCTGACTCCTAAGGTTTGCTGCTCACCATCCTGACAGCCCAGACTCTTCCAGGGATCCATGCTTTGGGCTGTCTCAGTCTCCCACCAATGCCCCAGGTTCCCCTGGGCTGCTCAGTGTGACTTTTCTCTGAGGGGAGATCAGCAAGGCTGTGGTCTGAGGGAGCCTAGGGGTCTCCTGGCCTGACTGGAGCAAAAGCACGTTCTGAACAATCTCTTTTTCTATATGCAGAATTTCTACTGCCTCTTCCCTGACTCAAAAGAGTGTTTCTGTTTCCCAGGCAGTTCTCAGGCCTTCTCACCTAGGCCAAATCCTGTGGCAAGAAAACAAGCCACAGTGCCTGTCATCACTCAAGAAATGTTCCTCAGTTGCCCGGTGAAGGGCCTGTTGAATGTCAAGGGGTGTTTTCAGGGCTCTCCCCTATACTGTCTACACATGGTAGTTTTTCTTCATCAGCAAGAGATATGGTTTAGTGTCCTGGGGATGCTAAACATCCAAAATGTTTAGCACAGCTGGGTAGGCCAGCTTCATGCCATTGGAGAGGTCCCTCCACCTGTATTTTCCGATGCTGGTGCTGGGAAGATGAAAGTGAAGAGTGGGAGCCTGGCAGGGTGACCTCTCTTCCCATATGCAGATAGTATAGTTCCAACCAGCCACAAGCTCCAAACTCCTTCAGAGAGGACCAAAAGAAGCAGAGGAAGAGAAGTAAGACCTCCTTCAAGCCACCAGGGCTGGGCTAGTAGAACTACATTCCTGAGCCAGGTGAGGTGCCTGCAGTCACTCGGGCCTGCCCATGATGCTGCAGGGCAGTGGCTAAGAACATGTTCTGAGTATGCGGGCCCAGGGAGAGCTGTGGCGTGTCGGGAGAGGGCGGTGTGCAGCCTCACTTCCCTTCTGGTGTCTCCCACAGTACTGATAGGGCCCCAGTGACCCTGCACCTTGATGGGATCGTGCAGGTCCTGAACTGCCACCTGAAAGACATGACCATCGGAATGATGACCAGGATTGCTGTTCTGAAGTGGCTGTATCACCTCTACATCAAGACTCCCCGCAAGGTGAGCTTGCGCCCCACCCTGTAGGAGGTTCCTCCACACCTCAGAGCCTCTTTCAGGTCTGCCTGGGTTTTGTAGGGCCTGCCAACACTTGAGAGAGTTTGGGCATGGCATTTTTGGAGAAACCCTGGCAAACAGAGGAATAACAGATGCTGTGAGGAACCTCAGTGCCATGTGGGTAGGGAGGTGGTCTGTGTAGAGACCATCAGAATGCTTCCTGCACCAAGGCCAGTCCTAAAGCAGGGGGAAAGCTCACTGGGTGCCCCCTTCTCTGCCCTCCAGATGTTCCGGCACACAGACAGCCTCTTTCCCATCCTACTACAGACGCTATCAGATGAATCCGATGAGGTAGGTCCTTAATACCACCCTTCTTCACAGAACATCAGGTACCCAGCCTCTCTTTTTAGTGACTGGTGGGGTCTCATAGCTGAGAAGTACTTGTTTGGTTGGTTGATATTGTGCTGTTAAGTCAGTATCCCATAATTTCAGTAGAGGTAAAGCTGTGTTTAGTGTTCTGGGCTTTGGGAATAAAGACACTTTTGTTGGTCCTTCGGGGACACCTATGACAGAAGGGAGTTTCCAGCTCTGAGGAATTCATTTGTTTTCCCTGGAGAATGCTTGGCGGGTGGGAACATGGCTTTGGGGTCGTGCTGCCTGCGGGCAAGGTCCGGATCTGCCTTGCTGCCCAAACTTGAGCCAGGTACTTAGCATCCCTGAGCCTCAGTTCCCTTCTCTGTTGCATGGGGCAGCAGTAGTACCTGGTGTTTGAGAATGAATGATCCATGTGAAGTTCCACCTGCTGCACTACACACATGCTGAGCACACAGCATTAGTTGTGTTGTTCATTTGTACTGTGCTCCAGTTTCAACTTTGACCTCCAGCTTGAAACTGACTCCAGAGCCTTGCTTTATTGGGGTCACCAAGAGATACTGGTGTGAAAGGGAAAGGCTGACCCCTATCCCAGGCAGCAGGAGTAACAACCAGAGCCAGTCAATGAGGCTGGCTGGGGTGCAGAATGCTTGAGGGACTCCTGTCTGGGGGAGGGTCTCCTCCAGCAGCTCACCATTTCCCCCCTCCATTCACAATTGTTTGCCCCAGAGTAGGGTCAGGGTAGTTCTTTTTAGTGCTCCCTTGCCTGTCAGCTAAGGGGCAGTAGTAGCTGGGCACACCCATTCACAAGGGCGCAGCCCTTCCTTCCTTCCATACCAGCTCATCAGGCTGTGTGTTAGATGCTGATGGTCTGAGCTGTGGCTCACCCCTTTCCCTCCTCTGGATCTAAGCCACTGTGGACAATGGCCTGTGTCTCCATGTGGCAGTGGGCACAGAATTGACAGACCTACACACACTGCCCAGTGTGAACATGGGAACATGGAAGTGGATGAGGGTTGAGGTTGGAGGGAAAGGGAGAAGGACATTGCTCACAACTTCCTTGGAATGAGGCAGCTTGGTCTTCCCTGGGCTGGTCCCAGGTTCACATGGGGCCCTAGGACAACTGTCCTGAAACCTGGAGTTGCTTTCCTGAACCTGAGCTGAAGAGAGAAGCCAACAGGCAGGTATCACCCTCTCAGTCCTCTGAGATTCTCTGCATTTCCAGAAAAATTCCAAACAGATGGTCTGTGCATTACCCTGGTCCCTCCTGCCTGCCCACCCCACACACATACCCTCTCTTCTTTTCCCCTGCACAACTCCCCTGAATGGCAAGGCCCAGGTGGACACAGCCCAGTTCTGCCTGTGAGCTGGGAGTGACTCACCACATACCCAGGCCCTTATTTCAGTATAGAAAGGAAAAAGAGAGCTCTGCTGATTGGTGCCTTCCCTAGGACTGCACTGGAAGCAACTGAGTTTTCAGTCCTTTAAATTGAGTTGTTTAATCCCATCCAGCTTACTTCGCTTGAAATTGGCTTTGTGAGCGTGTGCATTTAGAGGGAGTGGGAAGAGACGCAGTCCATTAAACTGCTCTGTTCAGGTTGCGGCTGTGGAAACTCGATTTGCTGAAGTGCCAAATGTTGTCAGGGCTTTGGGGTACATCTTGTGGGCCTTGTGGGGAGATGATTAAATCTGCTTTGGGGGACAGCTGGGGAGATGCTGTGACAGGGGAAAAGAGTCCATCTTTCCCATTGCTACAGCAGAGATTTGGGGACTTTGATAATCATTGGTGAGTCATGGTTCTGCCATATCCTGGTTCTTCACCAGCATCCCATTCTTAAATGTCCCCTGCCCAAATCTGTCTCACTTTGAGGATGTACTGTGTACTTGTAATGGAGTACAGCCATGAATAAGGCAAGTCCTCTCCTCCTGGAATTTTCTTTGTAAGATATCTAGAAAGTGTTCATAGGTGGATTTTTTTCCAAATATTTCCAAACACAGCTCTGATCTCAAATTGGAACTCTCTGGGGTGCTAGCACCATATTAGAGAGGCCTCACAACAGTTCTCTGGGAGGAATTCTGTTATTTCCATTTTGCACCTCCAAAAACTAAAACCTAGTAACTTACAGCAAGGAGGTGCTAGAGCCCATACTCAAAGTCAGCTCATCTACTCAACTGCTTAACCAGTATGCCTGTGTCTCACCCAGTGCAGAACCAGCTGGGGAGATTGTGCACTTGGGTTTAGTGGTGTTACTTACCATCCCTGTTTCTTTTTTTTCTAGTCCTATAAGTTCTTGAGAAAGATTCTGTTTGGTGTGGACATGTGTGTATTTTGGAAAAGCTCCTCTTCAGTACTCAAAACCTTTTGCCTTTTTTATTGATTTTTAAGAAGCTCTTTATATATCTGGGACATTCAGCTTGTCATCTCTGTTTCAAATGTCTGTGCAGTTGTGATAAACCCACGCTCCTCACTTTGGCTGAGAGCCACTGGCCTTACGGGAAAACATGTACCCAGGTGTTAATGATGCAAGAGCTGGGCACAGAGAGGGCAGAACTCGGAGACATAGTCCTGTCCCCTCCCCCCACCACCATGCTCCTCATTCCAGTTGGCACAGTGGCCTCACTGGGTTGTCTCATCCGCCATTGTTCCTCAGTTCTGCCAAAGTGACAACTGGATAGGCCACATCCTTCTGGCTTCCTCCCCTGTCTCTGCTTTTCCGTTATTCAGGATAAGTGGCTGTTTCCTTTCTACTGACTGTTCCTTGTATACATTGTATGAAAATCCCTTTTATCAGAAAAAATTTGCAGGTGTCAAATTAATATTCTTGGCACTGGAGTGGAAATCCTCCCATTACCTAGAGATCTAATTATTTGTTTTTTAAATGAAAATGTGACCCTGATTTCCCCAGCATGGAGTTCAGGACACATGCTCAGAGCTTCCTGCTGGAGCCCCATGTGAAAAGGGGTACTACTACCTTCCCTGCCGGAAGAGGCCAGTTGTCAACTGCCTTTTGAGCCAGACAGCTGCTGGCCACCTAAAGACCCTCATGCTCCAGCCATGAGCATCTACATGTTCCTGGCAGTGATGCCAGCCTGGGAGGGGTCCCAGGCGACGCCTCTCTCCCAAGCATAACTGCCTCCCAACCTGCATTAAAAATTCTCAGGGGAATCTCAGTCTCAGAAAAGACTGGGAAAGACATCTGTCTCCTCTGAATAAATGTGAACAGCCTGGACAATGGGCCATCAGTCTCAGGCCTGAATCTTAGCACCGGCCCTTTCTTGCCAGAGACCTGGAGTGAATTTCACTTCCCTGGGTCCATGAAATGTGACTAATGATGTCTACAATTGCCTTCTAGATCACTATTCCCAAAAAAATTATGAAGCACCCACCAGACTCTGCTCACCACATCCACCTGTCTATCCTCACAAGTTTTCTTAGTGCGACACCCCACCCAGGAGCAAGGTTCATTCATCCCCAATAAGTCATCTTGTCCTTCAGTCACCTCAGGGTCTTACTGGTCTTAGTCACTCATGATGAGGGTAACTCGGTATTTTGTATTTCTGTTATGATTTAGTGGCCTCCCTTCCTAGGAATGTTCTATTCCTGGGTGGCAGGGGGGCCTGATGACTAAGAGTATGGGCTTTGGACTCAGGCAGTTCAGTCCAGTCTTGGCTTTGCCACTTAATGGTTGATTGACCTCAAGCAAGTAGTCTAGCCTCTCTGAGCCTCAGTTTCCTTATCCATAAAGGAGAATAAGAAAGGAGCCTCCTGGTCTGGCAGAATGGCTAAATTGGTAAAGCTCCTGTCTACCAAGCACAAGGTCCTGAGTTCAAACCCCAGTGCCAACCAAAAAAAAAAAAGCTTTGCTCCCAGGTTTGTCAGAGGATTAAATGAGATCATGAACCTCAAGTGCTCAGCACATAGGAGCCACAGTTGGCGAGAACCCTCTGAGGCTGGTGATACTTTCTGTAAAAGAGTCTGGAGACATACATGCCATCAATAGGATAGGCTTCTCGTCTGCCCAAAGTCCTTCCTCCAAGCTTCAGATGCTCTCTGTCCTCTGTTTCCTGCCTGTCTTGAGAGGCCTGACAAGCATAGGAGCGCTTGAGGGACTTGTGTTCATCTCTAGGTCACAGAATGCTAAGCAGGGGATGGAATGAAGAATTGGGCCACACCCTCCATGTCCTTCACACCCTCCCTCCCTCACCTCCCGAGGCATGGTTGGCGCTTCCTAGACTGAGAGCAAGGCAGCATTCGGCACTAGCCTCACTTATCAGAGCCCTTTGAAACATCGCTCCTCCAGCCCAGGTCTAGGGGGAATGTCTCCAGCTGGCTGCCCCAGGAGAATAGGAGAAAGGGCATTGCTGGCAGAAACTCATCGGGGTCTCTGTAGCCACCGCCTCTTGCTCAGAACCAGGAGGAACTCTATGCTTCCCTCATCCCCTTCCCCTTAACTTCAAAGTCACCATCAAGAAGTTGCTGATGGGAGTTATGGCTGATGTGACTGGTGCAGAAGCAATGAAAAGATTGAGAATACCTTTCTAGAAAATTTGGAGGGCAGGATTCGTGGTAGAGTCTCTAGACTTGGTAGTTGGTAGTTGGAACCTACCAACTACATGAAGAGCATGAGCACAATCCTTGACCTAGGAGAAAAAGGACACTGGGGTGTAGGTCTAAGGAGTGATTAAGGGCATCTGAAAAAAAAGGATTTATAAAGGTGCTCAAAGTACCATATGTGTGCAGTGAGGGGCCATTGTCCAAGGCAGCCCTCTGCCTTCCCTGTCTTCAACTCAGTGGGACGTCTCAGAAGTGCTAGACCCACAAGCCTCTCCCACCTTTGCCAAGTTAGAAGGGGAGCAAACTGGGTGTCTTGGGGCTGTTGGCTCTTCTCTCTGGTGTAAGTCTCAGCCTGTCCAGCCAGTCTTCATCTCCAGGATTCTCAGCCCCTTTTCAGTAGGGTGCGATCCCAGAGAATAACCTT